CCTGTGTACAGAAACAGCTGGCCAGCCTTCTGATGGATCTCGGCTGCATCAGTTCAGCTGTGCTCATTTATGAAAGGCTGGAGCTCTGGGAAGATGCAATTATCTGCTACGAGAGACTCGGCCAACATGGAAAGGTACACGCTGAACTTAACATTCCTGAACTTAACTGATCTGAATATTAAACCACTAATCTATGTAAATGAAGTCATTTTAATGTTCATACAATTTTTCTTATTCCCTAAATCCTTCACTTAATCTAGACAACATTTCTAAGTTGTATTATTAGAAGAGGTTTTTCCAGCAGCTTGCTGTTTGAATAATCAAAATCATCTGAAAGCAATAGTGCTTAGTTTAACATTTGTTAACTATATTTTGAGTTGATTTGAATTTGTTTTAATACTTCATGGTTTCTTTTTTCACATAAATAGTGTAACACTTACTGTATGTAAGCAAGAGTAATGTAAAATCAAATTAAATGTTTCATTTTCTCTTAAACAGACCCTAGTTACTTTGGTAGAAATCATAAATGACACATATTTTTAATCACAACCCCCACAGTCACTATCTGTTTTTTTCCTTCTATCTGGGGTTTTGTTGGATTAAATCATCTTTATTGAATTCTAGATTCTCTTATCTCATGTAATAGAGAAACCTTTTCACATCCAGGAAAAACATTAAAGGTTTCCATGATATTTGAAGAATTTCCTGGCTATGGGATAGATACAATATTTCTTCTCTTATCAGAAAAAAAAGAGTCAGAAAAAGATTTTGATCCTATAATAAGACTGGAAAACTGTTTATTCCAAAACAGTTTTCCAGTCCAGTCTTATTAAAACTTAAACTTGTCTATTCCAAGCTGTGGTTAACTCTCTGCAGATCTCTGTTCACAGCAGCACAGATGGTGTGATTTACATGTGAGTTGTAGATTTCAAACTAAATGATTTGATGCTCATTTGGCAGATCGGTATTTTAAATTGGTTGTCAAGGCCAAATTAGAGGTTGTCAGTAATTAGTGATGAAGCGATCGGGGGAAAAAAGTCAAAAATCAGGATAACTGCACTTCCACTCATCTTTCTCTTGGTCATTATTCAAAATTGCAACGACTTTTTATTCATAGTTTCAACGCAGAAGACATATCCTCAATTACTTTACTTCAGCATATAAGAGTAACAGAAACATTGATATCTTACAGTGAAAAGGGTATTGATGGATTCTGATTAATCTGAAGAACTTAATTTTGTTTTACTGATAACTTTGTCATAATCCTTCGGGAATGTAAACAGGAAGTTGACTTTCACTACAACATTTGTTAGCTTGTTTACCTTTTGTTAGAACTGCCTTGGATTAGCCATCAGGATTACAGACTTCCAAGACTGGAGCATGTGATTTTTAATCCCTTGCCAAAAAATGTTCTTCTCATAGCACGATGCTAGCATTACGGTTCACTTCACTTCAATACCATTTTATTTAAATAGCACCAAATCACAACAGCAGTTGCCTCAAGTTGCTTTACATTGTAAGGTAAAAAAAATTGTAAAGTATTTAATTTATCTGAACTTGTACTGCAGCTGCAAATGCTGACCATGACTAACTTTGTATTGCTTTTAAACTAAAGGGGTAATGTCCCCTGTAGGCTCTGGATCTGTCAGAGATCTCCACTTACACATAGCCACAAACCACAAAGGGAGTCGCAGAGGAAAAGCTCTGATGCCTGAACATCACCATGTGGCTCCTGACCAAGTCCTATTACTTCATGTTCTTTTAAGGAGGGCGCGTTCTCCACCCTCCAGCTGAACAAAGAGATTGTTATATTCATAGAAGCATTATCAGTCTGGGAGTATAACCAATTCATAGGCCAGCACTCACCAAGGACATTCTTACCTACCTGTCAAGAGTACAACACAATTCTTGCTGTGATTGTGCCGTGAAAAGTGACCTCGGCGTTTAGATTTAGGTTTGAGTTTAATTCCAAAGACATCCAGTGATGA